TTCTTTTGTTTACAATAAATCATTGTATATATCAATAACTAACGAACGTTAATTCTAACTAATCCCATACTTTTTGTTACTTCTACAGCAAGTAAGTTCTTTTGTTTACAATAAATCATTGTATATATCAATAACTAATGAACGTTAATTCTAACTAATCCCGTACTTTTTGTCACTTCTACAGCGTGTAAGTTCTTTTGTTTACAATAAATCATTGTACATATCAATAACTAACGAACATTAATTCTAACTATTTGTCACCTATGTAGTCTGTAAGTTCTTTTGTTTACAATAAATCATTGTACATATCAATAACTAACGAACATTAATTCTAACTAATCCCATACTTTTTGTCACTTCTACAGCTAGTAAGTTCTTTTGTTTACAATAAACCATTGTATATATCAATAACTAACGAACGTTAATTCTAACTAATCCCATACTTTTTATCACTTATACAGCGAGTAAATTCTTTTGTTTACAATAAGTCATTGTACATATCAATACACTAAGAATAATTCTAAATGTAATTTATTTCAACTAACCCATGATAGACTATATGTATTATTGTTTTAAATCGTAGCACTTAATGCATTATTATACTTATTATTCAATGTTAAAAGATTTCAACAGGAATTTGGTAATTGGACAAGTGACAATCCTGATATCGATGAATTTATTAAACAAGCTCAATTTAGTACAAAGATGTTTAAAGACATTATTGAATGGATATCTTTTAGTAAATTTAAAAATATAAAGTATCTTGCTAAAGGAGGCTTCAGCACTGTTTTTAAAGCCGTATGGACTGACGGATATATTTACAGATTTGATGACCAAAAGAATGTGTGGGGTCGAAATAGACGAACAAATGTTTGTTTAAAAGTCCTTGATAATTCTAAGAATTTAAAAGAATTTTTAAATGAAGTAAATAATATATAAAAAATTTATTAGTTTACACATAGTGTATAAACACAGATCAGTATAGTGAAGTAAATACTGTATAAACACGGATTGATATAATATTATATAATAAAAAAAATTAAAATTTGAAAATTATGATATAATCCTTAACCTAAAATAAATATCTTTGATACAGCTAAAAACTAATCTCTTTTACACTTCACGCTTGTTTGATAAATGTTTAATCTAAAAACTAACCTCTTTATACTTCGCGCTTGTTTAATAAACGTTTGATCTAAAACTAACTTCTCTCTTATACTTCGCGCTTGTTTGATAAACGTTTAATCATTTAAAATGAACGAACTCGAGGATCTTTTTCATGACGAGCAATACATATTTGCTTCGATTTCAACACCAGTTTCCGTGATTATCCTTCTTTATTTTCTATCCACGCCCTATCACAAATACTTATCTTCTAACAAGTAATTTCACTAGCTTTATGAACCGATTTCAGTGTTAAACTCCATGACTGAACTAAATTATGAAAGTTCTATTTATGATGATCAAGATGTATTTGCTTCAACCTCAACACAAGCTCCTGTAATTAGTCCTATTTGCAATGATCAAGATGTATCTGCTTCAACCTCAACACAAGCTCCTGTAATTAACACTATTTGCAATGATCAAGATGTATCTGCTTCAACCTCAACACAAGCTCCCATAATTAACCTTATTTGCAATGATCAAGATATATCTACTTCAACCTCAACACAAGCTCCTGTAATTATTTGATTTTTTTGCTCTATTCTTATCTAATACTATGCCGTGCCTAAAGTTATTACTAACCTGAAATTGCAGCTTCAGATGCCTGAAGTTGTAACTTCAGGTTAGTGATGACTTAGGTATGTTGTCCAACAAAAATTCTAACATATATTTACTTAACGCTGTAGTTTTCTGAAGTGATGACTGACAGCAATTTATTTGATAATGAATCAGATGGATTAGATGATCTATCTGATTCAGTGGAATTGATTTCAGGACTTACCTTTTCCAATTGGGAAGAATTCAAGATTTGGTTAAATGGATTCGTATTAAAGAATAGATTTAGTTATAAAGTTAGAACAAGTGAAATAACTAATGGTGTAATGAAAAGAGCTACTTATAAATGTACTAAATCTAGTTTACATGTTCCGCAAGTTACATCAGACCCAACAAAGAGGTGTAACACATACTCTTAACGGATACAATGCTAGTAGAAGCTCAACGTCACCTATCCAAAAACAAGTAGTGTTGTAAAAATTAATTCCTTTGTTAATAAACATAATCACCTCTTACTTCAATGATACGTGAAATAGTATCACAGTTTCAGAAGTTGATGAATAGAATGCTAAGTGATATAGAAAAGTATGTTATCTAGAGGAGAATAGATTCAAGTTCTAATTATCCATTGTTAAAGCATAATTATCCAGACCAACCAATTTATAAGCGAGATTTATATAACACGATTTACCAGTTTTATCAAAAAAATAGTCCAGAGGAGGCAGATGCTTCCCAAATGTTACAGTTACTACTAGATTGGAAGGACTTAGAGCTATTATGGGTTGTAAAGCCTTGTTTAGATTCAGTTTCAAGGCGATTGAACTCTCTTTTTTGGATGTCTCCTATTCAAAGAGAGTTATATAGTAAATATAATGATGTGATAGTAGTGGATACTACTTATAACACCAACTGGTTTAGAATGTTGCTTTGTATTATAGCTATCATTGATAATAACTATAAAACTAGAATCGTTGCAAGTGCTATAATAGAAGATAAAACACTAGATACTTACCAATAGAACTTGAATAATAATAACAAAATGATAATAATAAATTATATATTAGAGTATTTCTATTTGTACACTATGTGTATATACACGCATCACGTGATACTGCATTATCCAATCAGATTGCGAGAAATAAGACATTAATAAAAATAAAGTTATTTATACAATACAATATAATTAACTATATATAATAACAAACATATACAGTACATCTTCTCAAATCCGATAGACATGGTGGACGGCTTTTGTATCAATTTTAAGAGGTTATCGGATTTAAGATACCAATAGCTTGCTAGTCATGTGATTATAAATAAATATAATTGGCTAGATTATATTTATTATATATCTACTTGGTTATACAAAGCTCGATCCGAGCCAATCAAATTGATTTATATTACCTGACAAACCTGATATCTTGTCATTTGAGTATCGGTTATCAGAAATGGCAGGTTATCGGGTTTGAATTATAGAACAGCTATGGTGGACCAATTTTTTATCGGGTATAACAGGTTATCGGTTTTGACAGGATCAGTTTTGGGAGGGTAGACTGTAATTTATTTAGAATAATGTTTTTAGATCAAGTTAAACTTGACCCAAGTTAATTTAATTAATTAAAAAACCTCGGCTGGCATCAACGTGATTCTGGCTTGCACTAACCTTAATATTCTGTTAGAAGTCATTTTGACCCGGGTCAAGTTTAACTTGGCCTAAAAACCAACTTGACCTGTAATACATACAATTTACAAGAGAAAAAATTCCTTAAACCAAGTTAGTTCTCTATATTATTACGTCGCAATCATTTAACTATTCGAAGAGTACAAATCTAAATTTAGATACATACGTACATACATACATATGCATATACATATATACATTTGTCGATTCTTATTGTACTTTGCATATTACCGAATACCTGTTTTGTGGTATGTACATATATATGTACTTAACAATAACCAGTATAAAAATACAAAAATAGATCATATGCACACTAATATACATATACATACAGCAATTTTGCAATCATATGATAATTGAAGCTTTGATCAACAATAATGATATGCTCATACGTATAAAATCAGTACAATTTCATACCTAATACTACTGCTAATACAATACACAGACCATTAAACATCATAATAATACT